AAAGCTGGGGCTTTCTTCTTCTTTTGGACTTCCTCTGGTGGTTTCTCTTTCTCTTGAACTGGTGGTTCCTCTTCAGTCACAGGTGCTGGGGCTTCCATTTCAACTGAAATCTCCTCCTCTTGTTCCTCAATGTCCTCATTGACTGGTACGGGTCCTGTTCTTGGAGGTAAAGCGCGTCCACTTCTCAATGTAATTGCTTGTACATATTCCTTGGGATTCTGCTCTCGTTTACCCGGAAGTTTACCTTGCGTTCTGGATGAGGAAGCTGTTCCGCCTTTGTGTTCAAGTTGATGGATTCTGCTTGTGAGGGCTTCAAGCAACGGCGCCAAGTTGATAAGTAGGATTTTTGTATCAACTAATCTCAATCCATACCACTCATGTCATTGTAGTATTTGAGATGTCAATCCAAGTGGAGATTCTAAACTTATCGAAATAAAGAAAAGGCAAAGATCAAGTTTTGATAAAAGATTGGGTTTTGTTTTGTAAAGATCTGTGCTTTAAGCTAACAAGATGAAATAAAGATTTAAACTTTAACAATAAAGATAAAGGAGGCGTCTTGGGTGAGACTTAGTTGGGATCAAACGAGCTCAACCTTCCTTTCTCAACACACCAAGACTCAAGCTTTGTGCTTAGACTTTGGGTAAATCCGCCACTCTCGTGGTCAGATCGCTTTGCAAGCTGAGAATCCAAAGCTAGCTCTCGCTAGTGGACTCAAAGTTACAAGCTTTCACAAGATCTAGTCTAAAAGTGCACAAGATACATCCCAACAACCAATCTCTTAGGTTGGGAATGTTTCTCTCTATCGCTAGCTCTCTTAGGCATTAACGCAAACACCTTCTAGGTGTACTAGCCTAGATTCGCGACTTCAAGTGATCAAGAAGAAGCCGAGATATAAAGCTCTAGCTAAAGAAAAGCTGGTCAAGGGAGATTAAGGAAGAGGTTAACAGGAAGCTAAAGCTCTGACCTTTCCTAATCTCACCCTCGAAACCTCTAAAGAACTACTCGCTACTCATACTCGAACCGAAAGCAAAGAGGTAAAGAAAGCTAGAAATCATCATTAAGACAAGATTAGCAAACTAAGTACTTCTTAAACTTAAAAGATTCAAAGTAAAAGCTTACAAAAGATCTCCAAGAACAAACTGTTTTTCTTGGAGAGAAACTGGTTACAAGATAAAGATTGCCTAAAAATTAGGTCTTAAAGGTTTATATAGAGAAGGGAAAAGTGTATCCTTTGGTCAACGTTTTTGCTTTGACTTCACAGATGCGCGCAGCTTGAGCAACTTCCTCAAGCACTCTGTTTCCTTTTGCTCAAGGCTCTGTTCCGTCTTGCTTGTTTTGCCATCCGATTACTCCGATCTCCTTCTGGTCCATCTCCGATCATCACCTCCGGTCCCTCCTTCGCCATAAGCTCCGAATACCTGATAAATGCACCCCAAATGCAATGGAAATGCAAAATGCTAACCTAAAGGCTAAATGATCCTAAGTAGACTAAAGCTACACTAAATGTTATGAAATGGGACTCAATTATACACAGAACTATGCAGTATGAGAGGCTAAATGTATGCAAATGTTGAGTACATCAACGGCCAACAAGTACTCAACTCCTTTGCTGTGGAGTGTGGTGAGAGTTAGAGCATTTTCACGCCTCTTCATGAACCAGTGGCTCAGCTTTTCTCTGATAAACTCTAAGAGAGAAGGTAATGGATATTCCTTCGCTTTCTTGACAGCAGAGTTGATTGACTCCGCTATATTGCTAGTCTTTATGTTGAATCTTTCCCCTGGGCAATGCACTCGGGACCATAAGGCCGGGTTGGCTGTCTCCAAGTATGTTGCAAGAGCAGGTTTTGCAGCTCTGATTTGGTCCATATACCAGTTGTATGTATCAAGGTTGTGCGCATATGCCGCACCTTTCACCATATACATGATATCCTTTGCATGGTAAGTTCCGATGATGTTATTCTGCATATGGTAATAGCAAATCCCTCTTGTTGCCCATGGGAAGACAGTTTCAATTGCGTTTGCGATAGCTGGGTGTCTGTCAGAGACAATGACAAGTGGGAAGTCCTGAGTGAAGCAACCTTCAGGTTATTCATAAACCACCCCCAAGACTCATTATTCTCGGCATCTACGACAGCAAAAGCCAAAGGGAAGACTTGAAAATTACCATCCTGCCCGGCTGCGACAAGAAGTGTACCACCATACTTCCCCGTCAGATGAGTCCCATCAACAATAACCACTCGCCTGCAGTACTGAAAACCAACCATGCAAGCTCTAAAAGATATAAAGCAGTACTTGAAGCGATCAAGTTTATCCCGGACAAGGTCGGTAATAGTTCCAGGGTTTGCTTCCTTCGTTCTATGCAAGTATGAAGCCAAGTTCGCATACCCGTCTTCAGGTGTCCCTCTGACGTATTCATGAGCAGCTCTCAAAGACCTGTATGCTGTCGTATAGTTCAGCTTCAAGCCGAACATCACTTTCATGGATATGACGATGTGTTCAGGCACAATTCCCTCGATAATCCCAACCCTCTCTATGAATAAGGCGCTGATATATTTTGGTGTGCAGCTTTTCCGGTTCGCTACTCGGTCTGCGACAGAACAAGTATGAGTACTCACATACTTTGTGACGAAAAACGCGATTGCCTCGTTCTTCAGAGACGCCCTAACTCGCCATGCACATCCGTTTACGTTGCAAGTGGCAACAAAGAGAGCTGGTGAGGACTTGAAGACACGAAACGAGAATCTGTGCACTACAGCCATCAATCGACACATATTTAGAAGTTCATCCTTGCTTGCAAAACGCTGTCCAACCTTGATAACGGCGTCCCTATACTTATCAAAATGTCCTCCTTCATTATAGCAGCGTCCTTTGAGCCGGATATCATCAAGCGGAACCTTTTTCTCGCGCACATCTTCGTCTGGGACTCTGCCATACTCACTATAATCAGCTTCTGCTTCATCAATCTCACCATTGGTCCAATCGGTTGTTGGTCTTGGTTCATCTACGGGTTCATCGTCTGCATCATCGTATTCGTTTGCCTGTGCATCCCAATCTCATCATCAGTAGACAAGCCCCACTCGCTATCCGATCCGACATTATCACCATCTGGTAAATCGCTTTTCGCAGTATTCATCCGCTTGCTCGAAACACTCAGCCGTATAACATGCAGTCGACTTAGTTCTACCAAGACTTGAACTTGCCTATCAGTCGTTACAAACGTAGGAGGAGAATCGATAGGTACCCCCTGGATAATATCAGCTGGAAGTGGGTACGAAACCTCAATAAGCTCAGAATTCGTAATCAACCCCATATTCATCGTTTGCCATTTCAACAAGCTCGCCATGTGTACAACCATCTCTCAATGAGAACAGTCTACCGCCCTTGTCGTCATCCACTACGAAAGAACCAAGTCCCTTGCTCTCTCCTCTCCCATTTCCCGTAAACAGCCGCTACGTACACCATCTTCTGCGAAAAATCATAATAACACAACGTCAATGAACGATCATAAAGTAGACTTCGATATGAAATCAACATGTAGACTTCATTGTGCAGTCTACTACATTTCACCTAAACTCCACCAAAAACTAAATATTTGATTACCTTCAAAATATAATGATTAAGCAAGTCAAATTGTTACACAGCCAAATAAACAGATAAAAACAACTTACTGTCCAAGAAAATCTTAAAATTAGTTATTCATGTAGCACAAACACCTAATTTACAAACTGTAACAAAGTAGACTTCATGTAGAAATCACATGTGGACTTCACCAGGAAGTCAACTTAGGGGTACACCAACTGCAAGAATATTTTGGGAAGTCTACAATGGAAGTCAACAATTAGAGGGGTATACTTTTGCAATTGACCAAATCACGACTTTTTGAAGTAGACTTCTTTTTCTAAAAGTAGACTTCCCTCTGAAGTCAACAATGACAAGTAGACTTCAATAAGAAGTCAACAACAAAAAGTAGACGTCATATCGAAGTCTACTGCCAAAAGTTGACTTCGTAAAACAACGTTTGCAGTTGGTGTACCCCGAGTTACTATTCATTCGTTGACCAGTTGACTTCTTTTTGAAGAAGTAGACTTCACCGTGAAGTCTACAAAGTAGACTTCACGATGAAGTCTACACGTCAAAGTAGACTTCGCGGGGTAGTCTAAGACTAAAAAAGAAGTCTACATCAAAAAGTCGTGATTTGGTCAATTGCAAAAGTATACCCCTGATGCGTAGACTTCATATGTAGACGTCATTACCGAAAGTCGTCGTCAAGTCAATTGCAAAAGTATACCCCTCCCGAAAAATAGACTTCACAATGAAGTCTACACATGGGGTCCACCTTTTTTTGTTGTCAAAGGATTACTGTAGACTTCTCAAGGAAGTCTAAAAATCCAAAAAAATTAAGGCGTTTGCAGTTAGTGTACCCCGCGTTCACATGTAGACTTCATATGAAGTCTACAACGCGCCGGAGATCTGAAATTCACGATAAACGAACGGAAAATCACCTTGATTTGCTGTTTGGTTGCGTCGACGGCGGATTGGTTCGATTTAAACCTTCAGCGGAGAAGCCCAGCCGTTGCCGTGAACTTCGTGACCGGAAATGGCATCATACAAGAACTTATATTTTTGAGAGATGGATTATAGAGTTTTTGTGATGAAATTGGAGAGAATAAGTTAGAGAAGAAGGTTACAAGAGCACATTGTGTGATTATGGTGGTGTAAAAGGGAAGAAGAAGCATTAAAAACCTTGGATATGGTTAAGAATGGTTGTTGGGTGAATTGAATTTGATGGCATTTCTGTGAATAAATGAAGGAGATGAGGTTAGTTTGGAAATTAGTAATTTCGAAAAAAAAGGAAAAATAGAAAAGATGATGGCATTTTGGTAGATATGATGAGAGGGTAAGGATGATATAGAGAGAAAGAGGTGTAAGTATTAGAGGGGTATACCAAAATCATTGACCACAAATTGGGGTCTACTTTTGCAAACACCCCATATATTTTCTAGTGTATTTGTGGCAACCTGAAACGTGTTAAAAATTTTGATAGTTACTTTCATTGTTCACTACATGCAAAAAAATTAGTATACCTCTAGCATATCATGTTGATTTACAGTCTGGATATATTCTTATACTGCATTACAACTTTGTCAAAACTTCATGGTCGTTTAGTTTGATGATTAGAATCTTTAGATATCTTCATTTGACAAAATTCGGCATAAAATTGTATGTTTATATCGTAGATATCTTCATTTAACAGAACTTGGTATAATAAATCTTAGATATATTTATATGTTTTGTCCATTGCTTCATAAATTCGACATAAGAACATATCCAAAACATTTCCCTTTCCATAGTATGACAACATGTTAAATCTGAACCAAAACTTTTTCGGGTGAGTTGAATTAGAATCTTTTGAGAAATAACCTTATAGTTTCTGTTGTTGTTACTGGCCAAGAAATTTGAATTAATTTAGACTACACCAGCCTTTTGCTTTGGGTAGTCACAAAAGGAAACTGCATTTCTGATGAGGTATTGTTTCTTCGTTTTAGCGTTTAAATTCGTTTTGCTGACACTTAGAGTCGTTGTTTAGGGTGATTGTCTCAAGTTTTGCATATTTGCAGTCATTGTGACACTTTCAAAGTGAACTTGCATTATGGAGGAGTTATGGAGAGAAGCGGTGATAGAATGAGTTACATTGGAGGAGCTTTGAAGCAGGGCATTGTCGTTGATCCTGATTTCATAGACTGTTTTGATGCCTTCTGTGTGGAGTTTTCGATAGAAGGTGGTTTAGTGGAGTGAGTTTGGTGGAAGCTCCATCACGGGAGCATGGATACAATGAAGAGTATTGTTGTCGTGGGATCTGACAAAGAGCTTATGGGAATGTGTAGTCAAGCTATGTCAACTTCTCGTGAAGTTGATGTGTTCATCGAGCAAGGTAATGTTGTGCTTAGGCGCACCGAAGAGGAAAACGAAAAAGATGGTGAGAAAGATTGTGAGCATTCTGCTGAGGAGCATTTGGAGCAGTCTGCTGCTGCTGAAATTGAAAGCGAGAAGGCACCTTCTGCTGAGGAGAATGAAAGCGAGAAGGCTCCTTCTGCTGAGGAGAATGAAAGCGAGCCTGCTGAGAATGATCACGAGCCTGCTGCAGATGAAAGCGAGAAGGATCCTGGAAATGAAAGCGAGAATGATGGTGCAACGTGTGCTGATGAAGATGATGATAGCGAGAAAGAGGAAGCTTTGAGGGAAGCTAAGAAGAAAAAGAGTGAAAAAGGTAAACATAAGGTTTTAAAAGATGAAGAAGATATTGGTGCGCGATATGATATGGAGATTGAGGATGATGTAGCTAGTTTTGTTGATGAGGAAGTAGATTTTAGAAGGATAATTCCAGAGAGTTCGGATAGTGAAGAAGAAGATGATTTGGATTTGAGAAAGAGACGAATGAGGAGACATGATCAGGTTGATAAGTTAGCTCTAGGAGCTACTTTCTGGTCAGGTTATGAGTTCAAGGAAGCCGTTTTGGATTATGCTTTGGCAAATTCAAAGAATATTGAGCAAAATAGATGGGATAAGACAAAGATTGGATACAAATGTGGCGAAGGTGGAAAGTGCAAATGGAAGCGCTATTGCTCGTATGATGAGCCGCATGGGAAATGGGTCATAAAGACAAAGTGTGGATATCACAGCTGCACGCCTAAAGGGAGATGCAAGATGCTTAAATCTCCAGTCATTGCAAAGCTTTTCTTACACAAGTTGAGGCAAAAGCCTAACTTTTGGCCTATGAAAATGCAAGTGTTTATCAAATAAAATTGGAGACTTCAAAGTACAACGAATCAATGCCAGAATGGAGGGTTGCTTGCTCTGAAATGGCTCGAGAGAGAGTATGAGCAACAATTTGCACATATTCGTGGATATGTCGAAGAGATACTCAAGCATCACGAGAAAACAACGGCCATTGTTGATACATATCCGAATGCAAAAAAACAGGATGTCTTCAGTCGGTTTTCTGTTTGTTTTGAGAAGCTTAGGACCAGATGAAAAAGTTCTTGTGTCCAATCATTGGGGTAGATGGAACCTTCTTTAAAGGCACAATGAAAGGGACTTTGCTTATAGCGGTTGGACACGACCCTAACAATCAAATCTATCCGATTGTTTGGGCTGTGGTACAAGCTGAGACAGGGGACAATTGGTTATGGTTTATGAAGAACCTAGAGGCTGATTTGGGGTTTGAAGATGGCAGTGGATATGTCATCATTTCAGACAGATGCAAGGTAAGTTAAACTTAAAACTTCTCAGCTTTCTTCTCTTTACAGCTTCATTTGTTTTATACACTTTGTCCTAACAACTGTGATGTTTTTTTTTAAGGGACTATACTTAGTTCTGTTAAAGCCGAGTTGCCAAATGCAGAGAGAGCATAGGTTTTGTGTGAAGCACATCTGTGTGAACTTGAAGAAGAACCATACAGGGAAAGACTTATTGAAGAAGCATATGTGGAATGTTGCTTGGAGCTGTAATCTGACTGCATACTGAAAGAATCTCCAAAAACTAAAAGAGTATGATGTGCCTCTGTTTGAGGATGTTTTGAGAATGGAGCCAAGGAATTGGACAATAGCTTTTTTCAAGCTTGGTAGCTTATGTGACAAGGTGGAAAACAACTCAACGGAATATTTCAATGCGACTATTACAAAGGCAAGAGGTAAGGCCATAATACCAATGCTTGAGACCATTAAGAGGCAAGCAATGGTTCGAAATGAAAAGAAACAGAAGAAGGCTGAAAGATGGGATGGTAGGTGTACAAAGTATGTCAAATTGGTACTCGCTGAGCTGAAGGAACACGCTGACAAATGTATGGTTAGTCATGGGAGTCATGGGAACTACGAGGTGGAGCTTTATGATGATAAATTCCATGTAGACACGAGAAAGAAGACATGCTCGTGTTTTAAATGGAAAATCTCAGGCATCCCATGTGAGCATGCATATGGAGTGATGTTAGATGCTGGTTTAGCCAGTGATGATCATGTCAACGAGTGCTTCTCAACAACTAAACAGCGAGACTGTTACATTGATAATGTCAAGCCAATGAGAGGACCAGGTTTCTGGATGGCTGATATACCTCTAATTTACCCACTTTTTATACTGTTTTAGCATTGTTTTCTAATGGTTTTTGGCAGGTTTTCTATCTAAAAAGGTAGTTTTACTGTGTTTATAGTGTCTAGAGTCTAAACAGGTGAAATGATGCATTTTGGAGCAAAACCATAGGATTTGCACTTCAAGCCGCTCCATGCACAAGCACCAACTTTAAGAGGGCCCAGAAAAAGATCTACTCAATGGATTTCATCAAGACCAGTTCCCTGCGTGCTCTGATTGAGTTAACTTTCCAACGCAACTGGAACGGCCTAATTTGGATGAGTAGAAAAGGAGTTATAACCAAAAGAGTGAAGACTGTCCAGACGGCTCTATCGAGAATCAGCGCCCAACCGCGCAGTCCGGCTGGCCGAGAACTATGTTCCGCTCGGCCAAAGTCATATCCGTCCGTCTGAAGTCTCGGCCAAAGTCCAAACCGACCGGCCGATCACGCATCACGACCCGGGAAACATTGCCCGCGGTCGGCCAAGCTACAACCGTCCACGCCACGCCGCGCACGACCAAAGCGCGCGAGCCGGGAAACAAGCCTCGCGGCCGCGCAACCCTTCGCGTACCACGGCCGATGCATCCGTCCGAGCCGGGAAAGAACGTCCCACGTCCGGCCGAGAACCATCGGCCAAATCTATCCGTCCGACCACGCCGGCCGACCGTGAATCCATCCGGCCACGACCGTTCCGACTCGGCCCACGACCCGATTGTCCGGCCGATCGTCCCGACCGACCGTCCCAACGCCGCGGTCGACCCGAAGCCCGTTTTGAAGCCCATTTCATATTTTCAAGCCCGGCTTAACCCTAAGCCGCCTCAAAAGACCTAGCACTATATATATAGCTTTTTAGCCTCTTGAGAAAGAGAGCCGCCCTTGTATTTCGATTTCCTACTCTAAGTTTTATTGCAATCATGTTTTCTTCATCTCTATGTGTGTTTGCTTTGATCATGTCTGAGTAATCCACTAGTTAGGTTGCTAGGGTTACTATTCAATGAGTTGCTTGCATGATCTTTGATTTCAATGATTAGCTAGGGATTATATTAGAGTCTTTGTCTCGTCTTGTGCACTTAACTAATGCTGATTGCTTTACCGCGCATCTAGTAATCCGATCTTAGGTTGATTTGAGCCTCGACAGTGCTGTATCATTCGCCGGACATATTCTTTGACAAGCTAGGTTTCTTAGACTGCGAAAGTTGATCTATCTATATCTAGTGAACTGTATCAGAACCTATTCATTCTAATGCTTGATTTAATCACCTAGGGACATACCAAAAGTTTAGCGACTAGGTAGATTAACAAAGGAGCCGGAGCCTCGAAAGTGGAATGGTTTTATATTCGTGATCTGTGTTCTAGATGGTTCTTAATATCCCAATATCCCTAATCAATTAATCTATCATTGTTTCATTGATCATTGCTTGCTTCTCTGCGATAGCCCCTATGACCTAGCGCTTTTCCTTTATTGTTTACAACCTCGTTATACTTGCTAGTTCGGTTCACCATTACAACCTCAATCATACTTTTGTTTTAGCTTGATCCAAAATCCATAGTTTCAAAGTGTACTCAATAGCCAGTCCTTGTGTTCGATACCCATACTTCCGCGATCTGTGCACTTGCAGAGGTCTAGGAGTTTGGTAAAACCTGACTCCGCATCAAGTTTTTGGCGCCGTTGCCGGGGACTGCAGCAGTACCTTTGGAACTCGACTAGGATCTAGTCTAGAACCTTTTCCTGTTTTGCTTTTCTTTTGCTTTTGAATTTTTAGTTTTTGATTTCCTTTTCTTTGATTTTTGCTTTTGTTTTTGTTTTTCCCTTTTGATTTAACTTGTTTCCAAGACTCTTTTCAGGTGCATGACTAGGAGGTCCAACAAGGACAACCTAGTTGAACATCCAGAGATAGACAAGCTTGAGAAGCAACTTAGGAAGCAAAAGCCCAAGAGATGGCCGACGAAGCAGCTCGCGCTCACGCCGCTGAAGTGGCGCGCGCTCAAGAAGAAGGAAGAGATCCACCTCCTCCTCCTCCTAATCCACAAGACCCTGCTGGAGATGTGAATGCACAACCCCAAGCTGGAGCACCTACAATCGGAGACTATGACTCTGCCGATGCTTTCTTCATGGATAGAAACCCTATCCATCCACCACTTCCTGCAAGGAATGACTATGAGATCAAGCCTCAGATCATAGCATTGGTTAGACAGAACCAATTCAATGGACTTCCAGCTGAGCACCCTCTTGATCACATAGAAAACTTTGAAGAAATTTGCAGCACTACAAGATCCAATGGAGTCTCTGCTGACTACCTTAAGTGCAAGCTCTTTTCATTCTCTCTTGGCGACAAAGCTTCAAGATGGTTGAAGTCTCTGCCAGCTCACTCCATCACCACTTGGGATGAGTACAAGGCTGCATTCATCAACCACTTCTACACCAAGCAGAGATCAATTTCTGTGGAACAAGATCTCCACTTTCGCCAAGCCAACAATGAATCTTTCTATGAGGCGCTAGATCGATTCAAGGAGTACATTAGGGACTGCCCTAATCATGGTTTCAATGAGGGAAACCTATGGAACATCTTCTATCGTGGCATAGACCACAAGTACAAGCTTTCATTGGACACTGCAAGCAATGGAAACTTCATGACCAAGACTGTTGATGAAGCTAAGGTTCTTATTGAGAATCTTGCAGCTAGTGATTGTAACAACTGTCCTGATTATGACCGCTCAAGCCGCACCACTACTAGCTCCCCTGATTCTTTTCAAATGACTGAACTCAAGAACATGATGGCTCAAGTTCTTAAGGGACAGCTCAAGCATATCAATGCAATAGAAGGGATGAGTGATGCTAATGAAGATTCATCAAGAGAATGCATGGGAGATTTCTCTAATGAAGCCAATGAAGAAGATGTGAACTACATTGGAAACTATGGGAACAAGGGATACAATCCAAGCTATCGCCCAAACCCCAACATGTCTTATAGAAACCCCAATGTGGAGAATCCTCAAGACCAAGTGTATCCTCCAAGGTATCCACAACAACAAAGACCTCCTTACCAATCTCAAGGAAGTCAATTTCAGCCAAGGCAAGGATATGAGCAGAGATCATCATATCCGCCCAAGGAGCCATATGCTTCTTCACCAAATCAAGCTCCTCCAAACCAACAAGGTGGGAGATTTGAAGGAATCCTCCAACAGATCATGGATGGCCAGAAGAGAAACACTAAAGAGATGTATGAGAAGATGGACACTTTGTTCAGCAATCTCAACACCAAGTATGATGCTGTTGCCACTCATGTGAAGAAACTAGAGACTCAAGTCACTCAAACTATGGAAGCTGTTAAGAGACAGGAAGCTGAATCCAAGAAGTCCTTTTGCAACTCAGCCGCCATAGAAGAAAGATTTGAAGACCAAGTTCCAGAATGGATGCTTTCAAAACCTACTGTTGATTGCATGATTTGGCCTGAAGAGAATTACCCAGAGAGAGAGTCCAATCGAGCTAGAAAGAGAAGACTCTTCCCAAAGATTATCCCCAAGACAGATAACTCAGGAAAGTTTGTTGTGCCTTGTATCATCAAAGGTAACATTCTTGAGCAATCTTTGTGTGACACAGGAGCCAATGTGAACATCATGTCTAAGAGGATAGCTGACAAGATAGGCCTCACCAAGATAGAGCCATCATCCATCTCCATCAACTATGCTGATTCATTCTCACAAACCCCTATGGCTTTGTGCCTAATGTGATGGTGCAGATTGGAAATTGCTCTATCCCTACTGATTTCCAGATTGTGGAAATGAGAGAGAGTAGCCATAGACCTCTCATATTTGGAACCCCTTTCCTGTCTACTGTGGGTGCCATATTTGATTTCCCCAATCAAAGAATCTCTTTCAACAAGGTGAACAAGGGTATGTTCTTCCCTATGTGTTCAACAAAGAACTCTTTTGTTGACATGGTCCAAGAGGAGAAAGCTACTTTGAAGCCACCCCAAGAAGGAGAAACTGAAGAAACAATCAAGGAAGATCCCATTCCTAAGCCCAAGCAGCTTGCCAAACAAGCAAGGAGTAAGACTAAGGCCCCTACACCAAAACCGCCCAAGGGATCAACCAAGATTGAAGATGAGGCCAAGCCAAGAAGGAAGGTTAGAAAGCCTAGGTCTGGCCGCAACATGAAGCTTCTATTCCCAAAGGAGCTTATTGATGAGAATCTAGAAGGATTCAAGGAGAAAGTGACAAGAACTCTAAAGCTTTTTCCTAAGGCAGTAGTGCCAAGGGACATTCATGGAGAGATTGTCTATCCAGCTGTGAATCACCCACCAGATACTCATTGCAAGGAGAAAAGACTTGGAGGATCAAAGATGCCTCTTGTCTCCATCTTCTCCTGAGCGCCAAGCCTTACAGTCAAGCTAAAGACTTAAAACAAGCGCTGCATGGGAGGCAACCCATGAGGTACTTTTACTTTTCTTTCTTTAATTTCTTAGTTTTTGTTTTGCTTTTGTGTTTTCTTTGTTTTAAGATAGGATAGAAGGAGAAAAAGGTGTGAAAACACAATCCGCGCCAAACATTGGCCGCGGACGCGCAAAAGTGAATTTTGGCCGAGCAATTCCAACTGGCCGACCGTTACGGTCGAGCCGGGAAGGAACGCTTGTGCTCGGCCGGATTGATCTATCGCGCGACAAAACGTTCGCGCGGCACGCACGAACCGGGAAGAAAGGCCGCGATCGGCCGAAATTTTCGTATCGGAACGGACCGACCGTGCCGGTCGATCCGGGAAACAAACGATCGGCCTCGGCCGAAATCTCTCGGCCACGAAATTTGGCCGACCAAATCGCTCGACCGCGACAAAATCCATCGGCCATCGGCCCAAAACTTTTCTCGGCCAAGGTAAGTCCCCTTTTCATTAATTCAAACCGGTTTTAACCAATCTAAACCAACTTAAACCGGTTTTCAATCAAAATTCGAATTTGAAAAGGAAAATTGATAGGATTTAGATCTTATTTACTTTACCTTTCCCTTGAAAACACAAGAACCTCTCTTTCTTCTCCAAAACCCTAAACTCCATTAGAGGAACTCTAAGAGTTTTGATTTCAAAACTTTTACTGTTCATAACTCTAAATTGGAATTTACTTGCTCTTGCAACCTTATTCACTTTTCAACACACAAGGTATGTCTTCTAACTCTAATCCTATGTTTATGCAAGATCGAAAATTTCAATAAGTTTCATGTTTGGTCTAAACTCTTGTCTAGACTTGAAATTAGCATCCTTATAGTCTTGTAATGAACTTTGCTAGGTGGAACCTAGGTGGTTTAGAGTTAATTTGAAGTTTAATTTCACAATTGAATAGTTTTTCACAAAACTTATTGGGCATTCCAAACCCCTTATTCAAAGGTGAAATTGCTTAGGCATACTTCAATTCATTAGTTTATCTAGTGATTACTTGGATTAGAAACTCAATTTCTCTTGATTTGCTGAAAATTTTGATTTTAAGCACCATAATCTTGGGATGAACAGTAAAATCCGAAAATTAATTTTGAAAAAGTGAAATTTCTATTTTGTCTCTTTGATTCATGATTAAGCCTTGAGTTGTTCCATTATTCCATATCATTATTACAACTCAATTAGCTTATTCTTCTTTTGCATTAATCACAAACTCATATTTCTTCCCAAGAATTTGCTCTTGTAGGTACACCAATGGCAAAGACAAAAGGAAATGAGAGTATGAAGAAGAAGAAGAACCCATTCATGGAACCACCAAAGAAACAAATCAAGCTAGGGAGTAGTAGCTCCAATGCAAGAGCAGCAATACCAACTTCACCACATTCCATTGATGCAATCAAGAACATGTGGAGAGTCCAAGAAGAGGAGAAGATGATTGGGCACTTGTAACCTTTGTTGGAGAACAAAATCAAGACCCAAGAAAGTGTAAGAAGGCAATGGAGAAGGTGAACATCGAGCCATGTGTGAAGATGGACACCCAAACCCTTGATCTTCTCAAGATAAGAGATGATGTCACATGGTACATAAGGAAGCTAGGCTTGAGCAAGCTCTTCAAGCTAGAATGTAGTGAGTACTCACAACTCACCAAGGAGTTCCTCTCCACAGTAGCTCTTGCCTTTCCCAACCACAATGGAGACCAACCAGCTGGTGATGGACTCCTACTCTTCAAGATAGGCGATGCCAATGGGCGCATCTCCATCTCAGCTCTATGCCAACTCTTTGGACTTCCCAATGAGACAGCACATGACTTCAAGGAGAACTCAAAGAGGAAACAAGCTGCCTTTGCTGATTGGACACACTTTGCCAATGAACCATTCTTGCCTTCAAGGTCAAAGGTGTCTAGAATCACTCATCCAGCCATTCGCTATGTGCACCGCCTCATCTCCACCACTTTCCAATGCAAACAAGAAGCCAACAAGGTCACAACTGATGAGTTCTACATCCTCACCACACCATTCATCAAGCATGAGTACAAGGCCAACCTTGGACTTTTACTTGCCAAGACATTCATCAATGTGAGGAAGCTAGCTCAAAGACTTGGAAGGCAACAAGAAGCTTTGTGTTCGTTTTGGGAGGCTTATCACGGCCATAGTACTGCATGTGGGGATTGACATTCCCAACTATGAGCCACTACCCAAGCCAACCCCTTTGGATCTCCATGCTCTTCAGCACATCCACTTCCTAAACCGTTGGACTAAAGACCCAACTCGGTTTTGCTATGAGTTTCCAATTGGTCCAGCCAACACTTCCCTTGTCTTGCTGCCACATGAGACATCCCAAGCCTACGCTCAGGAGTTGTCACTTTCCAGCCCAATGAGGAAGATTCTATGTTCCATCAAGTGAGAAACCATCATTCCCCATGCTCACCTATCGCACACTTCAGCATGCAGTCAAGACTCAACGCCGCCACCAAGAACGCCATGTTCTCACTACTGGCATGGCTGCGCACCAAGCTCTAGACCGTGTTAACAAGCTGGAGAAGATAGTGGAATGCCAATCTCGCTTCATCTCACGCCTAGTCCGCGTAGTTCGCCACATTGCACCGGAGAGACTCTTTCGCCCTTCTTCCACCGCTAGAGAGCCATATGAGCCTGACCTTGGTGAGTTCTCACTAGACTCAGAGCTTGGTTCAGAAGGCGATGACCCCATAGATGAGGAAGAGAGTTCTTCTCACTGCCACACATAGTCATCTCAAGTGGTACTTAGTGCAATGGACACTTACAAATCTCCATTTTCTATCCCTATCTTATTTTAATGAATTTTTCTTTATTTTTCTTTTACTTTGAATATTACCTCTCACCTTAATGTGATTTGCTTTCACCGGGACGGTGCAAGTTAAGTCTGGGGGGAGTTTTATTGTGTTACTAATGCATTTTTCTTTCTTTTCTTATGTTTTATTCACTTTGTTTCATGTTTTTCAAAAAGTTTTATTGAGTCAAAAACCAGTCCGGAAGTTATGAACTTGCTTTGAGAATTGAGAGTGTTATGCTAACAATCCATGACCCTAGAGCAGAAACCAGCTAAAGGCACAAGCCTAACAGAAGCTCTTACAGTGGATCGACATGCTAGCTCAGCAAAATTTCTAAGGTAACCAAGCAATCTAGAGTTAACCTCACCTTAATCAATCTTAATTACTCTTGTCAAGGGGGTTGGCATACATGTCGACAGTTCCTTGCTTGATTTTCAATAAGATTTGTCTAATCTTTAAAGAGTTCTCCTCTCTCTCCCATCCCAAATGGTAAGTAATGTTTATGAGAAAAAGCTCAAAGAGCACAAGGACAACAAGTAAGCATGAGGAATGCATATGTCTGTACCTTCATGTCTTATGGAATACCTTAGTCAAACAAGGAACAAGCTAAAGACTTATCCTGTGGTTGAAAGAAGGGTCAATAGAAAAAATAAAATGATACCCTAGAAAAGTAGGGAGAAATTGACCTTTCAAAGTTCTGATGTGAGAAAGAGAGAGGAAAAGAACTCATTGCACTTAAAGAGGCAATCTTGGAGAGGATCAAGTGGGTAAGAACAAGTTCAATTGATCGATGTCCCCTTGATAAAGAATTCACGCTTTAAATTTATGCAAGAGGTTAGCAATAGAGAGTTTGGATTGCTGGATGAGACTAGTTGGGTTGGTATTGTTCGCTAAACTTGCAGGGTGTATGTGAAGCTAACCTTATGTTGTCTATGTTCATAGTGGAATACAGGAAAGGAACCTTTCACAGGATATTCAAAAGAGCAAGGGAGTTCCACGTTTTCAAACCTCTTTCACGGATTTAGATTCTTTTTGCTTGAGGACAAGCAAAGATCTAAGTCTGGGGGAGTTGATATACCTCTAATTTACCCACTTTTTATACTGTTTTAGCATTGTTTTCTAATGGTTTTTGGCAGGTTTTCTATCTAAAAAGGTAGTTTTACTGTGTTTATAGTGTCTAGAGTCTAAACAGGTGAAATGATGCATTTTGGAGCAAAACCATAGGATTTGCACTTCAAGCAGCTCCATGCACAAGCACCAACTTTAAGAGGGCCCAGAAAAAGATCTACTCAATGGATTTCATCAAGACCAGTTCCCTGCGTGCTCTGATTGAGTTAACTTTCCAACGCAACTGGAATGGCCTAATTTGGATGAGTAGAAAAGGAGTTACAACCAAAAGAGTGAAGACTGTCCAGACGGCTCTATCGAGAATCAGCGCCCAACCGCGCAGTCCGGCTGGCCGAGAAACTATGTTTCCGCTCGGCCAAAGTCCAATCCGGCCGATCACAATCACGACCCGGGAAACATTGCCCGCGGTCGGCCACGCACAACGCACGCCACGCCGCGCACGACCAAAGCCGCGCGAGCCGGGAAACAAGCCTCGCGGCCGCGCAACCCTTCGCGTACCACGGCCGATGCATCCGTCCGAGCCGGGAAAGAACGTCCCACGTCCGGCCGAGAACATCGGCCAAATCTTCATCCGTCCGACCACGCCGGCCGACCGTGAATCCATCCGGCCACGACCGTTCCGACTCGGCCACGACCCGATTGTCCGGCCGATCGTCCCGACCGACCGTCCCAACGCCGCGGTCGACCCGAAGCCCTTTTGAAGCCCATTTCATATTTTCAAGCCCGGCTTAACCCTAAGCCGCCTCTAAAAGACCTAGCACTATATATATATTTTTAGCCTCTTGTGAAAGAGAGCCGCCCTTGTATTTCGATTTCCTACTCTAAGTTTTATTGCAATCATGTTTTCTTCATCTCTATGTGTGTTTGCTTTGATCATGTCTGAGTAATCCACTAGTTAGGTTGCTAGGGTTACTATTCAATGAGTTGCTTGCATGATCTTTGATTTCAATGATTAGCTAGGGATTATATTAGAGTCTTTGTCTCGTCTTGTGCACTTAACTAATGCTGATTGCTTTACCGCGCATCTAGTAATCCGATCTTAGGTTGATTTGAGCCTCGACAGTGCTGTATCATTCGCCGGACATATTCTTTGACAAGCTAGGTTTCTTAGACTGCGAAAGTTGATCTATCTATATCTAGTGAACTGTATCAGAACCTATTCATTCTAATGCTTGATTTAATCACCTAGGGACATACCAAAAGTTTAGCGACTAGGTAGATTAACAAAGGAGCCGGAGCCTCGAAAGTGGAATGGTTTTATATTCGTGATCTGTGTTCTAGATGGTTCTTAATATCCCAATATCCCTAATCAATTAATCTATCATTGTTTCATTGATCATTGCTTGCTTCTCTGCGATAGCCCCTATGACCTAGCGCTTTTCCTTTATTGTTTACAACCTCGTTATACTTGCTAGTTCGGTTCACCATTACAACCTCAATCATACTTTTGTTTTAGCTTGATCCAAAATCCATAGTTACAAAGTGTACTCAATAGCCAGTCCTTGTGTTCGATACCCATACTTCCGCGATCTGTGCACTTGCAGAGGTCTAGGAGTTTGGTAAAACCTGACTCCACATCAATGGCTGGTTCTCATAGGCTGGTGGTAGCTCCTCCAGAACAAGATCCGCCAGAGGGATCTGAAAAAAAAAAAAAAAAAAAAAAAAAAAAAGAGAAGAAGATTAAAAAAAAGAATCAAAGGAAAGTTTGAGTCACCAAAAAAGAAAAAAAGACAGGTTCAGAAAACCAAAAGGACTTGTCGAATTATCCATTGCTCAAAGTGTGGTGAAGCTGGACACAATGCAGTTGGATGTAAGATACACCCAAGGAAGAAGCAAAAGATGACAGAAGAAGCAAGTGACCAGGTATTTTCGCTTGTCTCTGAGTTAATGAGTTTGAGAGTTTGATTGATTCTGATTTTGATTGTCTATGAGTTTTGCTATGGTTTATGACTTTGCTTATCTCTGAGTTTATGTGCATGTTTTGGTTTCCAGGCCAATACTTCATCTCAAGGAATGAGGCTTTAGTTATATATCAAGGTCCTGAAACCATGTCACTCACTCAACCCTCTCAAATGTCAGAGTAAAACTTGGAATTCGGATTCCTCCTTATGCGGATTGTTCTTCTTTTGTTGTGATTCGTTCTTGTGATTCCTGTTTTGTTGTTCTTTCTCGGATTATGAATGTTCATTCTTGTCTTTCTTTGGGATTATGGATGTTCTTTTGTTGTTCTTTTTGGATTATAAATGCTATTTTCAAGGCATTACAGTTGAGATGGAGAGATATTGGATTTACGTTCATGTTTTGGTGAACACATTTACTGATCAAACAACTTAGAAAGGTCAAAAGTAGGACAATACATTTTCAAAGATGCAAATTTCCAAAGATAATAAGGTTTCACACCAATACACTTCGATCCATCAACAATCCAACAAAATGAAACAAACACACATTAAGCTTACCACAAATCTAACCCATAAGCTTACCACAAATCCTTCCTATTGCTCCTACAACCAACAATGTAATCCCAACCTTTTGCATGCTCGTTTTTGCCATCTCTCGAGCCATCTTCTGCAATGTTTCAGCAGCCATCATCATTTCTTCTTTAATTTTTGCTTCAACTTTTGCTTTCACCTCTTCTAGCTCTTCTTTCATTCTTTCTTCAACCATCTTAAGGATCATCCTCTCTTCTAGCTCCAGTTTCTCCACCATTTTTCCTCTGAATTCCTTTACCTCTTCAACAAGACTCAAATGCTTTCTCTCCACCATTCTAGTCTCATCGAGCAAAGCTTCATCAATCCACTTGAAAAGATGCTCTTCCATTTTCCTCTACACACACAATTTACATACAATAAGATAACTCTTTCATATATGTGTAAATTCTATTGATTGTTTTTGATTGGTTTGTACCTGTAATGCAACTTCACATCTGTAGAATCGACGGAAAGGATTGTCTTTGGTCTGAGCCGCATAAGTCACAAGGTTCCTACCACACCAACATCTTAATGGAACACCATTCACTGATCTTCTGTTGGTCAAATGAAATGAAGCTGAAGATGAACTACTCATTGTCATGTTCCCTATTCGAAAAAGAAACCAGCAACAATGATGACTACATGAAGCAAAAAATGAAATCACCAAAGAATTCGACAAAGAAACCAATTCAGAATTATAGTTAGCTTACCTTCCTGTCTCTTTCGGAATAAAAGATGTCCAATTCTCCTCTCGACGGAATCGAATCTACCAAGAATCGAAGAACCCTAATCCCCTTTTGATTTCCTCAAATCGATTTTAATTTTCGGTGTATGTGTAGTGTGGTATCGGGTTAGGAGAAAAGAGAATCGGGTCTTGGTTTTTTAAACAAACCTCGGGTTTACGTTGTAAAAACTCGGGTCAATTGCGTTTAAACGGGCAATCAATGTTGCGAAAACTGCATTTTGCTAATAAAAACGCAAATGGGGGAATCGACAGAGATTAAAAGTTTGGGTGGAATTGGAGAGGGCTGAAAAGTCTGTGTAAATCTCGATGGAACCAATTTAGTTGGTGAGGGAATAGGCGACATAAGGTTCTTCCATTACTCAAACTAGAATTGGTGTGGTTACCCACCCCAGAATAGAAAAACCAACAAAGGAAAGAGGCCTAACAAAAGACCTAGCAAGTTTA